CTAAGGAGTCCCATACTTGAACGAAACGGCCGTCCAGTGCTTCCAGGTTTCCAATGGTGGTCTAGCATCAATCAATTCATGATCTCAACCGAAATTCCTAGAATTTGTCGACATTTTTCTTTTTCTTTCTTTGATCCTATGGAAACTTACAAATGTATCATGCAAAATAATATTCAACTTTTTTTGTTTTGTTTTATTAAAACAATCAAAGTATGTTGATTATTGCCAAAATTTTTTTCTTTTTTAGAAACAGGCTAAAATGTGTAAGTTATATGCGTGTGTATCATAATATGATCACGCAACTATTTAAGAATGTGTAAAACTAATCGAAGTAACATATGAGATTGATCAATTTTTATATACTAAATCAAACATATTCTTCGATAATATAGAAATTACAAAGATTGTTTAAGTAAACATACGTTATGATTGTCTTGTAGTGTCAGTGACTATTGTTATGCTCACATAGATTATTCTAGCTATCGAACAAGCCAGTTTATGTATCTTTGTTGACTGACATTTTGATCTTCGTAATTATTCACTTATTAACCTTGATTGTTTTTATATAAGCGTACATGTATTTGTACATCTTATCCTATTCATTGCATGTCTGTAGCTTATTTTTGTGTGACTATAAATATTGATTAACGCTTGAATAAATGGAGTTGGCTTACATGCCTTCTCCACTACACGTTGTTTCTCCGATAGTTTTCCTGTTCAGATCAACGCTGTAATGAGATATACACATTCAGATTTCATTTCCGCATTTTACTTATTTAATTCCATTATACACTAACGTGAGTTAATTCGACGATTATATACGAGGATAGCCAGGATGTATATTTCCACAGCAATCATTCGATAACTATCATTCTTACGAACCATTTGGGGTCAGATTAAGGGCCACTTGAGTGTTGAGCCTGCCGAAGCCGAACCTAACGCAGTAAACCATGCCGATGATAAACTTTCTGCACTCCATTTTTTTCGACAAACAAACTCAGCAAAGCCAGCTTAATCGATAAATAACGCAGTTTCTAACCATAAGATCAAACCAGAGAGAGGTCACGACACCAGTAAAGTGACAAGCCTAACTTCGAACTAAACGCACCCTGAAAATCTACACAGACGGTGAATATCTCGAACTCTACAGGTCCGATAAACGAAAGAAGTGGCTGACTTAATTACCGAGAAACCAAAACGACTCAATCTCTAATAAGATTCATTCAGTGAAGCCTGTGCAGCATAACATCGACATGCTCAAATCGTATTATCTTATCGATACTTTGACTTTTTGTCACTTCTGCTCACTGATCTATCGGGTGGATTGTTCCATTATGATTCAAATAATTATCATGGTCTCATTATCACATCATCACTTAACGTGTAATTATTATTTTTCTTCGTGCTGACATTAAATTACGACATTTATGCAAACATATCAACCACCGAACATTTCATTCACGTTATGACACTCGAAATTCACTGGACTGTTTTTATTATTCTATAACGTAAATTTATCCTGATCTAAGTGAGTTCGTTCCAATTTTTTCCGTTATTTTTGCCCTATTTTTACACTCATTCACTTAGTTGAGGTCATTTTTACGTCATCACACCACACATTTTTCATTTCGTATCGTGTATTATGTCTGTGGATACTTTTAATTCTAATAAATCTTTTGCTAGGATCAATCATCTTTATTACGTTCTGGATCATTTATCATACCAGTGGCTTAATTATTATCGTTCATTTTTGTGGATACATGTCTATCGCATGTCATATATATTTCCGACATATTTACTAGCTGCTCATACACCGAAAAACCTGGAACCTGGTAAGTAAATTGGCGGTCTAGCAACCCAGGCATGAATTTGAATTTTCAGTCTTAGCAGTCGAGCAAACCTCCAGCACGCTGATAACGACATGGTCACAACTACCCCGACGGTTAGCAAATGTATCATAGACATGAGTTTGGAGTCATACTTCCGGTAGTAGGAACTTATGTTCTCGACATGAAACTAATGTTCATTCACCTCATTTGTACTCAGCGATTGTCATTTCCTACTTCTTCAAGGACAATCTAAACCAAACTTGAGCCATTTTTTGTTTAATCGATAATCTTTACTTTAATGTCTATACTCAAAATCAAGTATTCGATGTCGCATTACTAGCCGATTAGTAACGATTACGTTCATCTAATCTATTCGTTCACATGTACAACTGCACGCTGTATCATTCTTTGCCCATAATGCAATGAATATTCTATTCCCGTCATACTATGTCAGAACATAGAGTTTAGAACTAGTCTCTCAAGGATACACTCTTGTTCAGTCTCACTCGCCGTCATGAACAACCATATGTATTGGTATTTTTAACATGTCTTATTACGGTTTCGAAACACACGAAGTCGAGCGCATCTCCCTCTGCGTATCTTGTCTCTACAGTAACCATTATGTTTTACTGGTCATTCTACTAATACATATTTAACAATAACTCGAGGCATCTGGTCATAACGTGACGACGTACACTGACTTTGTATCTTATGATTGTTATAGATTGTAGTACAGCTATGAATATCCCCTATCAATGCAGTTATTATTTCACGGTTTGATTGGTCTTATCCTACAAACAAAAACTCCATGTGTGCAAATTCGAATCCACTCATGGCTGATTGACACTATTTACTCTTGTGTGGCTCATCAGAACATATTCATATTTCACTGTTCTTTATCCTTATATTCTGTCAGCATCACAGACTGATTCTTGTTTTATTCTACCATACTTATTTTCACGATTAATTCCGCTGTCATACTCATAAACGAGTTATTACTGTTTTCACGGTATTTCGGATCGCTCATACGAACGTGCTATTTTATCGTCCAGACAGTCATGACATAAATGTATGTTAATTTTCTGTACACTTATTAACTCACTCATGATCGCATGCTAACATTTCATTCTTGTCCGCGTCTTTACAATATTCATCTGCATTTGTTTATATAAATGGCACGTATGATACACTCGCTCCTCATATGACACTGTACTCTATCAGATATGTTACAATTTTTTCGCTACCTACCACACGCCTCATCTGTGATATTTTGGAAAACAGACGTTTTTTTCCAAATAAGCGTGCGATTTTCTACAAGGAGGATATGTAGTGACGGTAACTATGCTATGCTCACATAGCTTATCCTAGCTTCTGCACAGGTCATTTTATTCACCCTTCTTGAGTCACATTCTGGTTTTGTTAATTATTCGCTTATCAACCTTGATTGTTTTCATGTGAGCTTATATGTATATACTTTTTAACCCACTTATCACATGTCTGTAACTTATTTCTGTGTGACTATAAATATTGATTAAGGCTTGATTAATTCTAGTTGGCTCACTCATCTTCTCTACCGCGCGTCACTTTGTTTTGCTTCGCTTTCCGATCAACGACTGCATAAAATACACGTATTTGACATCTATTTTCGTATTCTACTTACTTTTATTTCGTTATCCTCTAATGCGATTTGGTTAGACGATTACATACGAGGAATGGCAACATGTATACTTCAATAACAATCAGAAACGAGTAAATAAGAGTCAGATCTCGGATCAAAAAAACTTATAAAAATCATTAATTAGATGTGAAAATGCCTTTCAAGTCTTTCATTTATTAATAAAAAAATAACTGATTACCTATCGATTATTTATTATTCGAGTCATTAGAGTTATTAGTCTGATATCCACTGAAAACTACAGATTTTTCTAAAAACGTTTTACCTCATAAAATTCAGTTGTATGTGTCCTTCTTTTTATTTTTACTGAATGTTATTACTTACTTACTTGCTTACGTTTGTCACTCCCAATGGAGCATAGGCCACCCATCATCATTCGCCAACCCACTCTGTCATGGGCCTTCCTTTCTAGTTCTATCCAACTGTTGTTCATTTTTCTCATGTCTGTCTCCATTTCTCGACGTAATGTAGTTCCTTGGTCTTCCCCTTCTCCTTTGGCCTTGAGGAGTCTAAGTGAGGGCTTACCTTGTGACTCAGTTCCAGTTCCAAAGCTTCTTCTGGACTTCTTCCTCCGCTGGAATCTGCTTTGTTCTCTCCTACAGTAGGTTGTTGTTATTTATACTATCACAGTCCATGATGGAGGGCATGTTTTAACTTGTTGTTTCTGCTGGATTATACGAAAAATATAAAGTTTTCCACGACAAAAATGCCACCCTTTCATGTTATGGACGAGTGAAGTGTAGCACACTTTGTCATGATGGAAGAAAAATTACAAAATGGCAAACTTCATACCTCCAATTATTTCTATAATAGAAATTGTTCCAAAATAGCTATAAGTGATTGACTGAATAAACGAAAACACAACCCCAATTACTGCCTACGATACACTCAGATGACTTGACAATATAGAGTTTATCTTCAGCCTAGTTGATAGGATCGTGGACACTACTCTCTGCATTGTCCTGTGCCTAAGTTGAGCTACTGATAATTTAGCATAACACTTTAACAGATTTGTACTAACACAGGTATTGAAAAAAAGAGATAACACATACTTTAAGAGTTTTCCCTCCTTTACCAAAATTCAGAAACTGATCAACATAGAGACAAATATTTCCTATGTGATTTTATAAAGCGTATTACTCAATAACATATTAAGAGGTTGAAGATTTAAACTGGAAACACCGACGGTCACTGAAGAGAATGTAGATTTTGAACATTTTGCACGTAAGTGTAAGAATTTACGTTATAAAGTAAAACAGTTATTTCAAGATCTTTCTAGCCAGTGCTTGACATCAAACTAGTAAGCAGGAGATTTAGTAATGCATATGAATTCCAAAAACAAATACTGAGCAACCGAATCTACACCACTGATATTACTTATAAACAAAAGTAATCATTCCTAACTTCCTGTGAATCTTAAAAAAGGGAACGTACATCTTTTTTATGTAGTTTCAATAGTCTACATTATTTAGATACTTATAAAATAAAACAACAAATAATGAATACACAAGTTTCTTTTCTAAAATGACACTAATAACGTATTACACAATGAATAAATGTCAAGAAAGAAGAGTAATCCAGTAAGTATAAAAAATCTGATTTCAAAAAAAGCTTCATAGATATTTCATATATGTATAAATATTGATTGTTCTTTTCTTCAAACTGGTGGCACTATGATACATGGTACATACGCATTGTGTACTACATAACTGCTTACACTACCAAGTAGTGTACGTTTGAGTCTACTTAGTCCACGATTACCCATAACAATTAAGTCAACATGATGATCTTCTACAGTTTGAACTATTCCAACACCTGGAGCTATTCCATTTTTTATTATAAAATCGTATGGTATCTTACTGCATTCACATATATAACCATACTCATTATTCAATTTAGTTGTTTGAGCGATACTAAAATAGAAATAGAGAATTAAAAAACAACATAATTACGTTATTTTGCTAATCGTAAAATAAAAAGATTCAGAATAATTGCATTTCAGATAAATTCGTTGATAATAATGGCAAATCACCATAGTATGTCAATGTTTACTAATGAATACAATACATTTGAAACAGAAGTTTAAATAGTTAGTTCGGTCAAACTGATTGACATCCCTACTCAGTACAACGGTTTCCAACATCCAGTGTATTTTCAAGTCTACTGAAGCAGTAAGATGAATTATGAATCTCCAAACTAATGTTCTTAAAATGCTACGCTAGCTGTAAAAGATTGTTCTGAGATTAATATAATATAAAGTCATTAGTCAATAATGTTGAAGAGTCTAAAAATAGACATTGTTAACTTTTCAGTCCTTTCTGGTCCTCAATGGTTAGCCAGTTGACGATAGACCTTGATACAAACTATTTTTAAAAAGAAATAGACTTGAACACACGAAATTGTCTAAATGTCACTTGATTGGTTTTGAAGTAAAGACTTTATAATCCGTAGTAAAACTGCCTTCTAATCATAGTGCACGTATACGAAGCATACATAGTTATATAACGCTAAACAAAATACTGTCCCAAATTCGATGTCTGTTTATTTCTAGTTCACTCTATAAGAATAACTGTTAATGGAAAGTAATCACAACATATTGATCTATGTATAGGATAAACTATGTAAATATGGATTTGGCTTCAATTTTGTCATTTCCGTTTTTAAAAGGAACTACAAAGCAATCTGTTGCATCAGTTTAAACATTTTATTTTATTGCCCTATAATTTCACTTAATAGTAAATTCATTGAAGTTAGACTTGTATACCATTGGGTGACACCTCAGTTGACTAGAGGTTAGGCCTTCATCCGAGGTACCGAAGGTTCATGGTCAGATATCCGGTTGCTAGGTCGTAGATGCTTACTACTTAGGGATCCCAAACTCTGATTAAATGGACGTTCAGTACTCCTAGATTTCCAATGGTTTTGTAACTGGCATTGGTTCTTGATATCTGTTATTTATTTGGTTCATAATCACTAATTTGTATGAAGCCTATTATTTTTGAAGACATGTTTGTTTATTATTATATTGAACATTCTCTAGTAAATGAATTTAGATTCCAGTTGGCACTGATGCTATTTCGTCCTGAAAAATATATGTTATATGGTTCATCTGAAACTTGAATGCCTAGTAATGATTTGATAATTGCCTACTTGTTCTTTGTACACTTAGGTACCTAATAGTATAGTGAAAGTGGGAAGTATAAAAGAGGCCCTACTTTAAGGTTAGTTTGTGTAGAAAAAATAAGGAAATTTAGAGGTTTATTGGTAGCCTGGATATTCAAGAGGCTCTTAGAGATACAATGAACTTAGTAACACAATAGGTATTATCCTGTCATTTATCTTCCTTGAATTTTCTGAGAATCTTTATTGAATTCTGATTGAATGAAATGATTGTTTAAAGAATTCTTCGAGGAATTAATTAGTAAGTAATATATGAAGTTGCTGTAATTTTTAATTGACTGATACGTGACACGGTCTATAGTTTCTTTTAACCATAACGACTTCAAATGTTCGGAATAAACACTTCTTTAATATAATCATAAACTCTGATGGGAAATTACCATCAATATGTGTATTCATTTGTTCGTCGGTAAATAAATATTTAACATTTCTATTATGTTAACTGAAGGAACATATATGAGCGAACAGTATTACTTTTAAATTGATCTTCATGAGGATCTTCATCAATATACACCAATATATATATAACTTAAATCCGCCTGTAGTCCCTCCGGGGGCTATTGCCGGTCCCAAGCCCGGATAAAGGAGGAGGGTTGAGCATGGGGTTAGCGACCCCATCCCGTATAAAACTAACTAGCTAAAAAACGCTAACCAGAAAACATCCGAACCTCTTAAACTCTGCCCTGGGAATCAGAAGATCGTCATTTAGAAGAACTCATGATGAAAGCCGAATTCCTTCGGAAGTTACGAGGCCGATGCCCCTTCTGACAACCAGAGCAACCATTTATTATCCTCAAGGCCAAAGGAAAAGAGGTAGACCAAAGAACACATTACGCCGGGAAATGGAAATAGACATGAGAAAAATGAACAAGGATTGGATGGAACTAAAAAAGAAGGCCCAGGACAGAGTGGGTTGGAGAATGCTGGTCGGCGGCCTATGCTCCATTAGGAGTAACAGGCGTAGGTAAGTAAGTAAAGTAATATATGTGACTTGACGACGTGGAGTTTATCTTCAGCCTAGTTGATAGGAACTTTGAGGACTTTTGATCTGGCTAGTCTCTCTATCATTTTCTAACTAACCAATGATAGTTCCTCAAGTAGGGGATAATATAGCCTGTTTTGTCACTTCCCTAGGTAATTACCAATTCAACTGATGTTTGTTTTACCTTTCTTCTTTACTAACTTCCTGCTTAAACTGATCATTCATGTATTTACTACTACTTAAGTCTTTAAGATTTCTGTGGTAGTAAGTTTTTTGGGCTTTGACATACTTTGTAAGGACGTGGTTATAACAAGTCGTGAAAGAAGTCAGGACACAGGTTATTTTTATCATCTGGTGCATCTTGGCTATTCAACCCTATATCGCTCAGTTTTAATGTCAAAGATGTTACCACCAGGTTATTCAATCCGCAACTGACATCCTGTAGGAATGAGGTGTTTTTACAAATGATTGATCACTGAGTAGTGACCAATGTCATATATGTCAAATCCTTCTTAGTGTTAATCAAATTCTATGGAGTAAATTGTGATCAAGCTAGTACTTTAAGTAATCCAATATCGAGCACACTACGTCAAGATAGAAGATGGGTGGTTAACTTACGTTCTATTTCAATGTTATCATACATGTTGTTATACTGTTTATTCTTTATATGTTTACCAATACCCATCCCCTTAATATCGATTTGTATTTTTTACTTATTATTGACTAGCCATATAATCCTTTTTCATTGTTAAGATTAACTCATAAATTCCTTTGACTGGTTTAATACTTTGAGTATATGCAAATAAATAATACTGTATATAAGGATAAAACCTAATGAATATCGAATTGAAAACACTATTGTTCACTTATATGTGTTGTATTAATATTTATAAAAGAATAAACGAGGTTATTCGCCTTATACTGACCGGACGTAACATTCTTATTATTCAAATAAATGTAGGTTACATAAGTTACCGTACAAAATGATCTTTCAAATATATCCGTAACTAACTTTTAAAACATAGTTACTCATGTAAACTGGAATGTTTTTTTCACTTCTTTTTTATATAGTCAACTTAAAACTATATTATTATATATCAATCGTTTTAAAAGACTAAATCTTTGTTCTACTATCAATATGAAAGATGCAAAACTTTTTCTCATATAATTTCAAATGTTTCAGTATTTTAAAATTATATATCAGAAGGGGTTCTTGTGGATATTACAGTAATTTCAATAGTTGAGATCATGAGTCATTTGAAGCTAGACCACCATGGAAAGCCTGGAAGCGTTGAACAACCGTTTCGTCCTAGTATGGGACTCCTCAGCAGCGCGCACCTACGATCCCACCTTGCGAGATTCGAACTCAGGACCTATCAGTCTCGAGCGCGTGAACGCTTAACCTCTAGACCACTGAGACAGCCAGCATTCAACGGTGTTAATGTCTAACTTCAAGTAATCCACGAAACTGAGAGACACATTCATCATTGTATTCAGTGAGTTACTATCTCACAACAGACCTGGTTGAACTCCAGACTTTATCAATAAGATGAGATAAATATCTTATCAACTCATATTGTTATTTAATGATTAGGGGTTGTTTTTGTTGTTCTTCTTGTATTGAAATGTCATGTGTTTTCAATAATTTTCATAGTTTATTATAAACAATTTTAGTCAATAAATTTTTATTTATAACCATTGCTATAATGAATCAAACTTGTAAGTAAAGTGGTTTATACATTGAAGTACATTAAATATTGAGAAAAGTTATTTGATTAAAGTTCAATCATCCAACGCTAACGTAAAGTGAACTAGTTATAATAAGAATATACTATTGTAAATGAATGATCATTTCTTTGAATTTGAATTGTGTGGTCAAATATTAATAAAACTGATCTAAACTTTATGCTTGATCAACCATATAACAATAGATCTTATTTATAGTTAAGAGTTGTTCTTAATCGTCATGTGAATAAATTCTTTATATTTAGTAACTTAATACTAATCAGTCGCCATCTGAAAAATGACAAAGATAACAAGCTTAGAAATTGGTGTTGTAAGGCTGGTGAAATGTCACTAAGTTCTAGCTAAATCATCTGGTAGTTGGGTCACTGAATATCAAACACATCATCGATTTCTGTCAAAGTCAAAGACAACTAACGCGCACCAGTTAATCGTATGCCATGGAATGTCCATTACGGTACTGGTCTCACTAACTCGAGTAGGTCTCCAATCATTAAGTATAGATCATCTACATTGGTGATCTACAGTCTAATATAAAGAGAATAAACGTTATATCCACTCATAATATTAGATGAAATGACAAATAACACTATTTCACAGTAGTTAATATCATCAGGAATATTCAACTTCATTATAAACATATTTATATATTGTCATCATTTATCTTTAGCTATTAGAAGAACTCCTTTCCTGAGATTTTCTTTGATTAGTTTATAATACATAGATGATGAAAAATGCTGATGAAAATACAGTTTAATAAAATATCGAAATGAATTTTAGATCTATTAAATTCAAGACGTGATTGCGATGGTATTTCGAGAACAATGCAGAAGTAACCACGTAATCAAATCATGTGTTTAGCAAGTCATTTCAACTCGAATGTGTAGTGCAGCTAAATTTAGATGTGAAACATATTTACTGAACAAATCAATATCAACTCGAACGTTTTAAAAACTCCTACAGTGATGTTTCATGGTCTACTTTTATATAGCTTGCTGTCTGGACTAG